GGGATCATCTTTGGAGGACACACAGAGCCTTGGCCATGCCATCACCCCTCAAGGTCAAGTGTGGCAAAGCCTGGTCTGTTGGGCTGCAGGACCTGAGCACCATCCGAGCCCAGCAGAGCTCTGAGAGCCTCAGTGGACACACAGCTCCTGCGGCCTTACCCACCCACCCACCCCCATCCTCTGATCCCCAAATCCTGTGGCTCACACACCACGTGATCTCTTGGACGGGGCTCGGGGAGGAGGGGATACACCTACAAAATACCTCTGTTTTAGGCAGGAAGAAAAGAAAATGTTTACTCCCTTGCCTTCAATTGTGTCTTTATTTGGGGGGGATTTGCTCAGTGTGCCTGTCTTCTGATTAGTTGCCCGTTCTCTCATTTTCTCTCGCTCTGTGCGGTTGATTTATTTAAAGGTGTGTCAGCAAGGGGCTCAAATGAGGAGCCGGCCTCCTCCTTCCTGCTGACGGCCGGCCATGCCAATAATTCATTTTTTAGCTCATTAGCTAACAGGGGCTGTGAGCAGCAGGCCTCCGGGGGATTGGAATGAGGGGAGGTGATGTACTGCCGGCTCCTCTGCTCTTGAACTGGCCTTCCTTGGGGGAGATTAAAGCACAGCCAAGACAGGGGGTCCCGGAGGCGAGACTGGGACATCAGGGCGACAATGAGGGTGTTTGTGCTTCTGCATCATGGCTGCTTAGGGCGAATGGTTTTAACAGAATATTTGGTTTTAGGCAGAAAAAGCATCTTTGTTTGCGTGTCCACCTTTAACATGTGAACTATTGGCACAGAAACCAAAAGAGAATGACAGAGAACTAGGGGCTTAAATAGCAGACATTGACCTTCTCACAGCTCTGGAGGCTGGAAGTCCAAGGTCAAGGTATCGGCAGGGTTGGTTTCTGGTAAAGCCTCTTCCTGGCTTGCAGATGGCGACCCCTCGCTGTGTTCTCACATGGTCTGTCTCTTCCCTGTGTGCACACAGAGAGACAGACGGACAAAGAGAAAGAGAAAGAGAGGTGTCCAGTGTCTCATAAAGCACCAGTCCCATCAGATTGGGTCCTACTCTCATGACTTCATTTAACCTGAATTACCTGCTACACACTCTACCTCCGAATGCATTACAACTGGGCATCGGGGGGTCAACATTTGAACTCGGGGAGGGAACATAACTCAGTCCAAACTTCCAGGAAGACTTTAGACATCTCAAGGCTGTAGGCAAGGGCTGGCCAGACTTGGCCAAGAGATCCTAACAGCCAGGGGATATGTGAACCAACTGAGCACCCCTCGCCCCAGTGCCTCGGGGCCTCCTGCCTGGGAGGAGGGGTGGCCCATAAGACACGGATGGGTTTATCAGGGCCCTCTCTCACCCTGCCAGGCACGGTGACCATGGGAAGCTCATTTGTACAGACAACTGGGATTTAGAGACCGAAGCATCCCACAGGCACTTCGGCCCCACCCGCCGTGTAGTCAGCACGGCTGTGTCGCACACACAGCACCCCAGAGGCGAGCTCTTACCTACCTGATAGCAAAGTGACATTACAGATGTTATTCTTTTCACTCACAACACCCTCCACAGCTGCCCTGTGCAGAGTGACAGCTGTGGCCAGCACATCGTCCAGACACGTGGCCTCACATCCACAGCCACCGTGCCTGCTGTAGACATCACTGCGCCCATCTTATGGATGAAGAAAGGCAGACCAAGGAGTTAGGGAGGTTGCAAGAGTCTGCAGCACGGAGAACAAAGCAGACACACGAACCCCATGGTCTCTAATGCTGATGCCACGGCTATTTCCTCTCCCTGTGGTCTCTGCAAAAAGCACCCTGATTTCAGCTTCCCCTAGTGTGTCAGGGGCAGGGGGAGGGGGGCAACAAGCGCAGGAAAGGGGGTCTATGTATAGTAATAGTACCCAGAATGCCCACTGGAGTCTTCTGTCCCTGTGGGCTGGATTTCAGCTGCAGAAAAGAAGCACCTGGAACAGCAGGGAGCCCAGTGGCCCGACTTCTCGGCTTTCTGTCTGCCTCTTGGTGTCTGAAAATACACCGAAACATTGCAGTCCTGTGGGATCCAGAAGTGGGATCCACAGCACAAGAAGCTCTGGTGAAATGCTGTGGTTCTGTCCAATAGTAAAAGCCACACCTTGATCAGACCTGGGGGTGTCCTAGTGGAGGGGGAGGGGCATGGGGCAGGGAGAGGCAGCCCACCCAGAGGCCACCTGGAGGCTCTGCACCTGCCTGGTCCCTTGCAGTGCCCTCAGGCGTGCGTGTGTCAGCCTGTTCTGCAGGCGTTGGAGGTGCTGAAGCCCTCATCAGGAATAGTCACCCTGCCCCGCCCCCACAGGGTCGCAGGTGGGCCAGCCGAGAGGCTAACGCAGCCCCTCCGACGCCCTGCCCCTAGTTCCGTACACACAGTATTAGAGCCTTCCCCTGGTGAAGGTGCCCCAAAGAGCCAGCATTTTTAGCCCCACCCAACCCAGAACCGCCTTTAAACACTGACTTTTCAGAGCAGAGCACAGTTTAAACAGGATGCTCATTCAGACGCGGGTCAGTGAATTCAGGTGAACTTGTCTGTGGGGTGACGGCCACCCCGCACATGCCCCACAGGAGAGGATGCAGAAGCTGTGGGCTCACCCTCATTCTTTGGGGCATTTGAATATCACAAAGAAAATGGAATCATTGCGGCTCGGACTAGATTTCCACGTTCTGCTCTTCGGTTCATCCCTGGGTGACTGGCAGTGAGGATTAGAACCAAGCGGAGCAGAATAAAACAGCTCTGATTTTAATGCCTACCCCAAATTAGAGTTAGCAAATTGGAACTTGAAGACCTGGACGTATCCTTCACCACTGTTGCTTTTCATCTCATTCACGTCTGGCTCTTTCTCGTGGGTGATTTATGAAATGCATCAACATATGCTTAATACATTTTAAATAAGGTTCTTAAATAGCTTGAGCTCTCGGTGTGGCTGGGGCGTCCGACTCTCGCCTGCGCTGCTGTCCCAGGGACGTTGCCCATGTGCAGGGGCCTGTGTTTTGGCCCAAGTGGAGACAACACGCCTGTCCCCGCGGGAGCCAGAGCCGCGTTTGGGGGTGCTGGGGCGGCTGCTCAGCTGCAGCCCAGAGTTCGGCCTGGAAATCTCCACATGGAAAGGGTCAGGGGTCACTGTGGGGTCACTCGCACGGACCAGGAAGTGAAGCACAACTAATCCTGACTCACTGTGGAGGGATCTGTTTGCCTAAGTATTTAAAGCAGATTAGGGCTCACCAGACACTACCGCCAGGAGCAGTGTCAACACGGGTAAAAGGTGTAAACAAGGCTTTTTCCGTCCTTCGGAAGGAAAAACGTCCGGGTAATGAGTTTTCTTCTGGAGAGCCGGCCCTCAGTGCCGTCTCCCTCGCTGGAGCTGGGCCTGGTTGCTCTGCCCGGAGAATGCTGGGTTTCGGAGGGGTGGTGAGCGCTGTGCCTTTAAGTCCCTGTGGGCAATTGCGGCCACTCCTTGTCTGCAGGGCTTTCCTTCTCCTCTCCTGCCTCTCAGAAGCATCTGTCCGGATAGCACCCCTTCCCCTGCTCCCCTGACCCTCCTCACCTGAGAGCTGCTTGCTTCTGTCTCTTGCATTTTCCTGCCTCCCGACCTTTTTTTTCCTAACAGTGCTGCAAAGTGTTGAGAGCTGCTGAGCTATTTTCAACGTCTCTTACGTCCGTTTTGGAGAAACTAAAACCACACGCCACCTGGTAGCCAGGGAACGCCGAGTCAGTGGCCGGGGTCCCATCCTCCGGGTCACCATAAACACACCTTGCTGTTGGTATCTCCTTTTCACCCTATCCCCCCACCCCTTTCTCCCAGCCCTCCTCCCAGGGTCACAGGCAGTGTCCTGGCCCCTTTGGAGGAGGGGTGAGCGCTGTCATCACACCCACCCAGCTCCTGAAGCTCATTCTCCGTGAACTGTGCTGTTGGGGAGCACTCCAGCTGCCACTGTGACTACAACCAAGGCTCCACCCCCTTCCCCAACCTCATCCCTCCTCCGCACCCCTAGCCCAGCTCTGGCCCTGGCAGCTGGTCCTGTCTCCTCGGCTGGGCCCTACGCATTCCCTCACTTAGGGAGTCAGGGACGTGATGGCAGAGTTGCTCAGGGTGACGGGGGCAGCTGTGTCTTCTCTAACCCTCCCCGTTCGAGCCTCTGCCTTCCATACGGGGTTTGTAGCAGTGGGCTCTTCACTGGAAGTGTCTATGTGGTTCTCAACCTTCCTAATGCCGCGGCCCTTTAATACAGTTCCTCATGTTGTGGTGACCCCCAACCATAAAATTATTTTCGTTGCTACTTCATTACTGTAATTTTGCTACTGTTATGAATCGTAATGTAAATATCTGATATGCAGGATGGATTTTCATTGTTCGTGACCCACAGGTTGAGAACCGCAGGCTAGAGCCCCAGGAGACCTCACTCCTGGGAGGTCTAAGAGCAGGTCACACCCGGTTGGGCGGCCCACCACTATCCTGCCCCAACTCCAGCCCCGCGTCCTCAATCCTGACTCACCGTTGTCCTTGCGGGAGAAAGGCCCTCCATGCGGGTGGCACCGCCCTGCCCTGTGCCCGAGGGTGCTGGGCCGGAGCGGGATTCCTCAGGGGCACAAACTCTGCAGTGAACGCAGAGGAAATCAAGTGAGAGCTCAAGGCATGGACAGGGCAATGCTAAGTTACACCGCACTGACACCTCAGGGCATCAGAACCGCCGGCCGGGCTGGTTGAAACACCCTCCTCTGCGGTCCTGATTCATGAGGCCTGGGGACCTGCATTGCTACCAGTTCCCCCGGGGTGCCGGTGCTGCTGGTGGGGTGCCCCACTTTGTGAACCAGAGGTGAGCCTCTCCCCCGGGCCTCCCCACGCTGGCAAAGACACTTGTCTCCCATTGTTTCTCTTCCCCTTCCACGCTTCCTGGTGAGCAGGGTGCCGGGACAGGGGTGCCGCCTCAGTGGCCCTGCCTGACTGTGGCCATGCCTGCCTCTTGCAGGGAAGAGAAGGAGCGGTGGATCCGGGCCAAGTATGAGCAGAAGCTCTTCCTGGCCCCGCTGCCCTGCACCGAGCTGTCCCTGGGCCAGCACCTGCTGCGGGCCACGGCCGACGAAGACCTGCGGGCGGTCATCCTGCTTCTGGCACACGGCTCCCGGGACGAGGTGAACGAGACCTGCGGGGAAGGCGACGGCCGCACGGCGCTGCACCTGGCCTGCCGCAAGGGGAACGTGGTCCTGGCACAGCTCCTGATCTGGGTAGGTCGCCCGATTGCGCGGCCAGGGGCGGAGGCACTGTGGGCACCGCGGGTGCCAGCCTGGATGTGGGCAGCATTAGCAGTCGGGAACCCAGGACTCCGTGTGGAGGCTCCTGCCGTGAGGGCTCACCTGTGTGAGGCCTCCTGATAAAAGGCAGGAAGGAAGTCAGTGGATGTGCCGTTCTCCGGTGGGGACTCTTCGTTCACCTTTTTATTTTTAGGGTACCCCTTTGGGTCCATCATGGTGGGTGGGGGTCTCTTGTCTTTGTCCACACACACAGAAAAAAAAAAAAAAAAAAAAAAAACTCCCATTATTTTTTAGGAGGTAGGGATAGACAAGGATAAAAACTGAATGGATTACAAACGTTGGGGTTTTTCATTCACATAACACAAAATAGTAGACCCTAAACTGTGAGATTTGATGTGGTAGGAGTTTGTCAAAGGGCTTTGTCTGGGCTATTCTGATTAATTTTTATTGGGGAAAAAATTTTTTTAATTCCCAACAAAACATTTGTCATGAAGCTGGAATGGGGAGAGAATTAGATGCCCAGATATCAAAATCACTCAAATGTTCAGCTTCACTGTAACAACTGTGTGTTAGTCAGTTCGGGCTGCTCTCACAAATACCACAGACTGGGGACTTCAACAACAGAAATTTATTTTCTCACAGTCACCGAAGCCAAAAGTCCCAGATCAAGGTGAGGGCCAGGTCGAAGATGCCTTCCCTCCCTGTGTCTTCACGGGGCCTTGCCTGTGTGTGAGTGCATCCCTGGTGTCTCCTCCTCTTCTTAGGACACCATTCCTATTGGATTAGAGCCCCACCCATATGATCTTCATTACCTCTCTGAAGGCCCTGTCTCCAAAGACAGCGGCACCTTGGTTCTTGGACTTAATTCATTCCAGAAGGCTGTTCGAGAAGCGATTTGTTCGGAAACCAACTCATTTTTTCCCATTAAAAATAATATAAATTGAATTAATCTGTTCCAGACCCCCAAATGATTGATTCCCTGTTTTAACCTTTCTTATATACAGTACATGTCTCACGTACTGTTTAACCTATAAACACACACTTCTTTTCTTAATTTATCAAACCACCCCTCCTAGCCTCAAAGGAATCACTTTCAGTACTTGGTCCAGGGGTGTCTTTCAGATCAGCATGCAGTCTTTGCTTGTTCAAATATCACTGCCTCCGAAATGCCTCACTGGCTCACTGCTCTTCCTTTATCCAATCAACAACAGTTTTTCACTTGCCTGTGATCATTGTTTCTTTCACACCCTTAGCAACATTAGCACTCTTGATGGCCTCTTCATGTTTTAAACTTGTGCTAATTGTTGATTTGCAAGCAACAAAGGCAAGTCTCTCCTTCGTTGCCTGAGAAACGCCTTTTGTCATGCTGAGGTATCAGCATAAAAGGGTTGTCAGGTCAAAAACTGAAGTTTGGTTGACAACCGAGACATTTTTTTCTGTGAACAACTTGGTCAGGAACCGAATTGTTCAAGATGGGAGACCTTTGAGAAGCAAGGTTTGACTGTACAGTCACGTTCTGAAGTGCTGGGGTTAGGACTCCACCCTATGGACTTGCGCGGGGGAGGAGGGGAGCAGAGTTTCATAACAAATTGCATACCATCTTTCCCTCCAAAAGTCCTTTTAATTGCATCGCTCCATGCTGGCAAGAGTCCTAAATACTGTTGGGAGTGGAAGTCAGTCCACCCTTTTTAAAAAATATATAGATTTTTTATTGACTTGATTTGATTATTTTTCTTTTTTAGAGAGAAACATCAATCAGTTACCTCCCATATCAACGTTTCGCTCTCACATCCATGTTTCAAACAGGCGATTTTTGGTGCATAGGACTACGCTCTAAACAACTGCGCCACCTGGCCAGCATCGGTCCACCCACTTCCTTTCTTTATTTATTGATTGATTTTAGAGAAAGGAAGCAAGAGAGAGAAAAACACCGATTCGTTGTTCCACCTATTGATGCGCTCATTGGTTGCTCCTTGTATGTGCCTGCCTGGGGGTTGAATCTGCAACCTTGGCGTATGGGGACGAGCTCTAACCAGCTGAGCCTGGTGGCCAGGGCCGCCATCCTTTTCAAGAGCAAGAACCGCGGAAGTGTTAGTGCAGTGAGCCTCGTATCTCCCTGTCTTCTCAGCATCTGGTAATCAGAGACCCTGAGAAACATCCGTGTGAGGGCGCACATCACAGCACAATGTATGCCAATGGCCGTGTTACACAGAGCGCATGGCAGCCAAGGGCAGAGCCCGAGCTAGTTCACGCGGAGGAGTACCGGGTGGCTATAACCTGTCATGCTTTTGCATAATTTTTAATGATGTGAGAAAATGATCCCAGTACAGTGTTCAGTAAAGGGGAAAAAAAGATACGCATTACTTGTGTAAGTTTTACCGCAATTACACATTTAGACCCAAAGGAAAACCATTTGAAGGAAATACGCGGAACTATTAACCAAGATTATCCATGGATAGGTTAGAGGCGATTTTTTCTTAGCTCTTACGTATTAACTGTGTGTGACCCACAGTGAAAACAAATTGCCTCTGAGATTTTAGAATGATCGTTTTTTTGTGTTTACAATTGCAAGGTCAAAACAGACATAGCAAAACTAGAGTCACCCGTGGTCCATTTCAGTTGCACAGAGGAGGGGCTTTGAGTTGCAAAAGCACATTCTTGCCTGGAAGCATGCACCTCGGAGCCAGGTTGTCCTCCAACACCGGGCAGGCGGTCGCCGTCCTCGGCTGCCCTGGCCTCCTCCCCCTGGACACTAACATGGCTCTGTTGCCTCCGCAGTACGGGGTGGACGTCATGGCCCGCGACGCACACGGGAACACGGCGCTGGCCTATGCCCGGCAGGCCTCCAGCCAGGAGTGCATCGAGGTCCTGCTGCAGTACGGCTGCCCCGACGAGCGCTTCGTGCTCATGGCCACCCCCAACCTGTCCCGGAAGAGCAATAACCGGAACAGCGGCAGCGGGCGGGTGCCCACCATCATCTGAGGGGCGTCGGCGCCCCCCGCCCGCCACCCCTCCCTCTTCCTGGTGGTCACCTGCCACCCACCCACCCTCCCTCACCCGCAGTGAAATCACAGAACCTGGACAGTCCTCACGGAGGCGAAGACGAGGCCCGGAGGCTGCAGGATCGATCGTTTCCACGAACTCCCCCACTCGACAAGAGGAGCGACCGGCTGGCCTCGGTTGGTTGATGATAGCACACGGCGCGGGACCTGGTCCCATGGCCTAGAGACAGAACTCGGCACAAGGGGCGGGGATGGACAGGGGGAGGGGAGGCAGCAGCAAGGAGACGGGAACTCTCCTTAACTGGCGGTTAAGCACATCAGTACATTTCACCTCTACCGCACGGAACACTTGCATCTATCTCATCTCTTCTCCGAGGAGCTTGACGGCATAAATCAGGAGCAAGCCGAGTTTGTCAGGTCTGAAGCCCCGATGATGGTGTGTGTCAAATCAGTTGTAGCTAATCTGTCCCGGGAGAATGCTGGCTTCATTACACTTGTATAGTTGAGTTCTTGCAGCATTACCGCTGTTTAATAGAACATGATTAGTCATCACCGGGAAGAAAGCATATTAGCCGAGGAGGCAGTTACGCAGCACGCTCCGGTGATTGCCGCGATGTGATTGCAATACTCTGAGAAGCATCATATTATCCCAGACATGTTCTTCCGAGCCCTTGGAGCCCTCCTTTCTAAATTCACTGTCATAATTTAGTATCTGTTTAATTTTTCAGTCCAAAGAGAGGAAATCAGTTGCTGAGTAGTATTTGACGGCAGTCTCCTTGGTGCAAAAACAAAATGGGAAAAATAAATAAGAGCAACTCAGAAATTCCGGAGGAAATCACGAATTTCAGCCGACAGTGACATGCCGGGTGCATTTAGGAAGCCGGGTAAATGCATAAAAAGCTACCCCCCACACACACCCCCCGAACAGGAGAGAGATTTTATGTCCTTTTGCCAAGGAGGACGTCTGGGTCTCAGTCACTCCCGGGCCACGTTGCCCAAGTCGCACAGGCTCCCGTGTTGTGTCTTCAGATGAGATGTGTGGAAATGTATTGGAATAAAAGAAGTTCATAAATATGCATTGATTTTTGTACAGACGAATGGCACCTCTGTTAATTTATAAATGGAACTGGATGTGAACTAATAATGTGCAACTAGTTGAGATAAGCGGGTTACAGATCATTGTACATGGAGAGTGTTCGCAGCGGTAAACACTTCCATTAACGTGATATACAGCTTTGAAAAGGGGGCGCATCAGAATAAGATGGTAGTGCAATTTGCTTATTAAAATCGAGAAAGAGAAAAAAAAAAGGCCCAAGCCTATTAGAGAGCGGGGAGGGGGCATGTGAGCCCTCACTTAGATCTGAGACCGCTTTTGCTGGCCAGGGGGAGGGGCTCTGCCACGCAGGGCACCATTTCCCAAATGCCAGACCCGGTGCTTGGCAGTGGTAGACGGGGACCCCCACCGATGGTTCTGTGGCACAGACCGGCCCACAAGAATCCCTCAGGCTGACTTGGTGGCCGGGCCGTCCATTTCAGTACAGCCCCTGAGTGTCATCATGGGATCAGGCTGCTTCAGGCTTCAGCCACCTCCAGCATGGTGGCTAAACACAATAACGCAAATCCGGACACCCTGGGTTAAAAAGGAAAGGGGCGGGCTGTGCCTGGAGTCCAGGGGCAGTGTGGCAGGGAAGAGGGTGGGAGCATGGCAAGGAACATGGGCTGACCCGGCCCAGGACCACAGGACCACGTTTGCCCGGCAGCCTCGGAACATTCCTTGCTCCCCTATAGTAAATCTTCTATTTTGTAAGAGTTTTTCCTCTTCTTTCACTTTTTTTTTAAAAAAAATTAAAGTGGGTGGGAATAAATAAAGCTTTATACAGAAGTTATATGGAGGCCAGTGTTCCGTGGGCACCTGTAAGCTCCCTTCAGCTCCGGGGAACGTGGCCGTTTCCACAAAGGCCAGGTGCAGACAGCAGGCCCGGGTCCCTCCGCCGAGTTCAGGGCTGTGCGCTGCCGCTGTGCGGTGGTGGTAAACGTGAACAGGAAGAAAAGTCGTTGCCTGTTTTTGAAGAAGCAGCACTGCCCTAGCCCAGCTCCATACATTAGCCTCCACGCAGCCGCTAGCACAGACTGTATGTAGTGAGCACAGATAGAGTATAAATGAAATTCTTAAGTTATTTCATCGTAGTGAGTCCCCACTGTAGGGATGCTTTATCACAGTGAAGCCTTCTGAAAGGAAAGGGGATTCCTCGTCAGGCTTCTCTTGGGATGTATATGAGTATGTACATATGATTATATGTGTTTATAATATAATATTTTCCCAAATGACTTGTTTTTTCACAGCCTTTCACGGCCCGAATGCTAGATTGGTTCTCCCCCTTCCCCCCCTCCAGCACGGGGACCTCACGGTTCCTCCTGGGAAAACTCGGCCCCTCTTCTGCTCTTTTCAGTGACGGTGGTGGCTCGAGGGGGCAGCCTGCTTTCTTGAGTTTGGGCAACAGAGGAAAGGCATCCGTGGGTCCCCAGGGTTTTGTTTCCCGGCCCAGGTGACGGGGAGCTAATGTTTGTATCTCGGTATCAGACTAGAAGCCCTTTGCCGACAGCGCTGTCGACCCGTCTGAGAGCCTCACTAACCCCCGGGCTGGGCAGCAAGGACCAGGCTGGTGTCAGGAAGAACAGTTTGGGGCGGGGCCTGAGTTAGCATTGTTTGTGTCCTTGTGCGCCCTGTGCAGTGACGGTGCCGTGAGAACCCACACGCCCTTCCTGCTCAGAATCCACGTTTTCCCTTGGAGGAGAAACCGCCGCTGGAGAAGGGCAGGCGGTCACTCGTGAGGGTGGCCACAGTGGCCTCGCTGGGTTCCTTCCGCGGCGAAGAAAACCCCGCAGAGGAAGTAGCCTTGATTCTGACCCGGCGTGGGTGAGCCTCGAGGACCAGGGTGGACAGACGGTTTCCGAAGCCCAGAACCCTAGTCGTGGTCCCCGGTCCCTTTCGTTTCCTGTCCTCCCAGGAGGTGAGCAGCCTGAGGGTGAGTGAGTGACGTGCTCACGGGTCCTCGGTGCCCCGGAAGGTGCAGTTTCCTGTCGCCTGGTGAGCACACACCGTGTGTGATTGTCCCCGACAGCGGCGATGGCGGCAGGTGCTTGCTGGCTGTAGGGCGCAGAGAGGGCAGCTCTTACTGACCTGCCCGGGGCTGGAGGCCCAGGTCAGCACCTCCCTGCGGGGCGTGAGTCGGGCAGTGCAGGGCCTTGGCCCCTTCCGCCCCTCTCCTGAGGAGTCTGCTTGGACCGGCCTCTGCCATCCAGCGTAGCCCCCGTCTGTCCCAGTTTACAGAGTCCTCACATATGCAGGGTCAGTCCCCACATGTGCAAAGAAGCCGTCACTGACCTCATAGGGGAAAAGCACAGCCCAGCGAGACAGCCAGCCCAGGGTCAGGCCGCCCGGGGTCACCGCTTCGCTGTCACACCTGTGCAGCCTCGGGCGCGCCTCCAGCTTCTCGCACTTTCCTCATCTGGCACTGGGTGGCCTGGCAGGGGGTGGTGACATGTCAGACCAGCGTGGCGAATGGGAGCCCGATGCCCAGCCAGGGGCTGGATGCTCAGAGATGGGTGTGTTTATTAAGAACTGAGAGGTGGGTAGGACCAAAGCCAGAGCACAGGCCCGGAGAGCTGCCCGAGTTGGCGCCGTGTCCTCGGGAGCTGGTGGCGCACCTGTACCCCCCTCCGTGTGAGCCTCTGACCCTCTCTCTGCTGAGCCTGTTGCTGCTCAGAGGCCCCTGCCCCCGAAGGCCCTCTCCCCAGGGGGATGAGCCCAAACTGCCCAGTTACCATCCCGGCAGCCCCACTTACCAAATTGTACCCTCCGTCTCTTCAGTCCGAGATTGATCTTCCAGAGGCAAAGCCAGGGAGGAGCCTTGCCCTATGCCACTCGTAATGTTGCCTTAGGCCCAAGATGACCCCCTGTGCCCTGCTCCCCGTTGTGTGGCTGGCGTGGGCAGGCCCCTCCCTTCAGATGCCACCTCTGGGCGCCACGAGGCTGCTGTGTCACACTCCTGTCTGGTCCTCGTTTCCGGGTCCTTCTACCTCCTCTGAACGTCGGGGCCTGCGGAGGGCACCCTGGCTGGCAGGTGTGGCTCTGGGCACTGCCGCCCTCGCTGTCTCCTCTCCCTCCCTGGGCATCACCTCCGGGGCTGCCTTCCCGTTGTTCACTTGTCTTGTGCCTGCACCTGGCGGTCGCATCTTCCCCCTCGAGTTGCCAACGGGTCCTGTCCATCCCCCAAGCCAGCTTCGCTCATGATTGACATGGGTCCCCATGGCTCCAACTCTGCCAGCCCTTTCTCCTTGCATTTAGAATGTTCTGGAAACCAGGAGGACATCCACATTCCCGCCTAGGGAGGCTCAGAAGCCTGGCAACATGTAGCTGCTCTAAGAGTGTGGTGAGGTCCCAGACACGTCCCAAAAGGCAGAATCGGAAGCAGATCCGTTACTCCGTGGGCTGCTTCCCGCCCCCACTGCTCGCTCTCTCACCCTCTCTCTCTCTCTCTCTCTCACACACACACACACACACACACACACACACACACGCCCGCAAGGCCGGTGCGACTTTCCTAGAACTTCCCTGGGTTGTACTTATGTCCTTCAAGCACACACATTGAAAAGCAGCTGGGAGGGAATTCAGCTAGAATGTGCGGGAGATGCACATCTTTCTTCCGCAGGAATTAGTTTATTTCTGACCCCTCCTCCAGCGTGGGCGGGCTTCGCACCTTGTGGGCCGTGTGTCGGAGTGACTTTCACCCCCATCCTTCACCAAAAAGCCAAATAAGGGCCTTTGGCATCAAGACTTGCGTTTTTGCCCTCGGCCATGATCGCCATGTCTTCTTATCTGGATTCCCCCGTGCTCTCTGCGGGAAGCTGTGGTCAGTGAGTCTGGTGTGGGCCACACCCCAGGGCGGCCAGGGCCCAGGTGTGCTGCCGAGAGGCGGGTCTGCCCCCTCTGCCCTGTGTCCTGCACTGGGGGGCCTGCCTTTTAGTTCCTGTGTCCGACTCCTTCCCAGAGAGAGCGGGAACCCTGGGGGCGACGCAGGCACTGCCAGGAAGCAGGCGCTGAGCCCGGGGTGCCGCCCCCTCCGTCACTGCAGGCGGTGCAGGGTCAGCACGGCCTGTTAGACCCCTCCCCTCTTCCCTCTCGAGGAGAAAGCAACAATTTACACTATCATTTCAACAACACGTGTTCTTCCCCTTAGAGAAGAAATGCTGTCCTTCAACCGTTTTTTAAACAAGATCAATGGATTCCCTCTTTAATTTTGGAAGTCTGCTGCTTTTTTAAAAAAGATAGACTGACACTTTTTTTCCAGTTTCGGTTTTTCAGTTTGCGTCCAAGTTAAAATTAAGGGACATTTCATCAGTAGAGGATTCTGTGAAACCAAAACGTCTGTCTGTAATCCGGGATTTTTAGATCTCCCAGGTCCTAGAAGAATTTCAGTTCCACCAGCGACCATAGATTTGAAAACCTCTCCCCAACTCGCTTCCGTTAGGAGCTGCTCATTTGCTCTGAAATGACAGCATTTGGTTCTGGGGTTTTGCCTGGTGGGTAAATGCTCTTTTGTGAGGCCCTCCTCCCATCAAAAGGCTTTGGTGCCAGGGCTGGGCAGGTCGGGCAGGTGTGTCCCACAGAGCCCGGGTGGCACTGGGGCTGCGGGTGTCGGGAGGCGCTGTCTGGTGAGACAGACGCGGGCCTCCAGGCAGGTGTGTGTACAAGCGAGATGCCTGTGAGTGTGCGAGGGGTCAGCTCAGGGCTGGTTTTTCCTTGTGACCTGGCATGTGGCACCTCTGGGGAGTGGAGATAAGCCATGTGTGCAGGCAGCTCTGGAATTCTGTCAGTGGGAGGTGTAGGGCCTTTGTCTCGAGATGCAGGTGAAAGAAAGGAACCAAAACAGGTGTTGGGGACTCTCCCAGGGGAACAGGCCCCCTTAACACCCCAGCTGTCGGAACAGCTGCCCCCGAATCAAACTGCCCTCACCTCCCAGAGCCAGTCGGTGAACAACCATGGCTGGGAAGCTGGTGTCTGAGCTGGTTCCAGAACTCTTGTAAAAGGAGCTCTCACACCCCCTGGAAGCTCACTCAGTGAGTGGTGGTTTATGTAAATTAAAGGAGTTTGGGCGCAGTAGGACTTCCTGGGTCTCCCCTCCTCCCCTCCCCCCACCCCCCCCCTCCCCCGGTCATCACACCTGTATGTAGAAATCCCGAGTGATAGGCTCCCCACCTGACATTCCAGAGTCGCCGGGCGCTGTCTGTCCGGCCTGGGTCCTTGGGAGTGGGTGGTCAGAGGATGGGCCCAGGGTGTGTGACCTGAGGCCGGACTGGGAGCCAGCTCCCCGTGAGCACACCCTGCACCTCCTGGCCCCACCCCTGGGGTCCCGGCAGCCTTCTCCCCGCTGACTTGGGGCGCACAGGCGGGCTGGAGTGAGGATTGGGGCCGTTCCTGTCGACAGACAGCAGTACGTTAGGAGCTGCTCTAGCACAGGCCACGCGTCTCAATGTGAGAAACGATGCCTCTGGGACCATGAAAAGCATCCCGGTTTCCCTCCCGGCCCGGGTTTTTGTGTCTAATACGTATCAAGTTCTGGAGGTTGCGACCCGGTCTGGCCTGGGCACCTGCATGCTGAGGAGGGTGCCGTGTGCACTCGATCCGAGGGAACGGGCTGGCTGCCCCGGAAAGGGCCGGAGGAGTGGGCCACGCCAGCCACAAACACACCACGTGGCTGCGGGGAGGGGCCTCCGGGCCCCGACAGCCCCCACCCTGCTGCCCGGGACTCTGCACTGGGCCCTCCCCCGGCCACAGGTGTGTTTCTGGACCAGCAGGTGAGAGGTGACAACCGAGAGGCGGCCTGGGAGGGAGGGGGCCGGGAGCACGCGTCCCTGTTTCTGTAAATAGCCGTGTATGGGAAGCGGAGGAGCAGCCTGGGTCGCCGGGGTGGCTGTCTTCTTGGTTTGGGTTGTTTTTATATTACCTCATTCAGCAAGTTTATGTTTCACAATGACTCAATGACGCTTTATTTATATTGTTTGTACGGTAATTAAAACCATCGACAGACATTTCATTTTGCTTGTTGCTCCATATGATCTTGTTTTGATTAAATATGCCAGTTTGTATTTTCCTGCCTTGGGATTTCTGTGTCAGCTGTACAGTATTCTAAGGGGAAAACAGAGAAAAAGACAAAAGTGTAAAGTATGGAAGAGGTGGCTAGAGTAGAGGCCTCTTTCTAATAAAGAAAGACTATGGCTACTCGGCCTCCGCGCAGTTCTTGGCGGGGCCGGAGGAGGGCGGGGGGGGGGGGGGGGGGGGGGCTTTGGTCACTTGTCATGAATGCCCATTGGGTTTCTGTTCCCACGCGAGCACAGGGGGCTTCGGCTGCTGGCGGGAGGGGTCGCGCTGGGCCCTGCAGCCACGATGCGGGGCGATGAGGGGCTTGGAGCACACGGGCCCACTCATGGCTCCAGGCAAAGATAAGTTACCTCTCTTCAGACTTGTTCATTCACAAGAGACTCCGAGAGGTCTGGAAGCTCCAGCTGCTGCTTCTGCCCCAGAAATAAAGCCATTGATGGATGCTACTAACACTATTATTATTAATATCATGAATTTTTTTCTCAGACAAAATACAGGGAGGGCAAAATAGGTTTACAATTGTGAGTATTCAAAACACAGCTTATTCTTGTACTATTATTTATTGATTGTATTATTTTCATATAAACAACTGTAGATCTCCTTTTGCCCCACCCTGGATATCATATCTTGGCCCCCCAAATTAGAAAAGTATAAAGGAGGTAAAATTCACCCAGATGCCCCTTCCCCCCAAAAAAAACACACCACTGGCCTCTTTCCTACTCTTGACTCTGCCCACCTTCCCTTCCCTTCCCTGGGACCCCACTCCTTCCTCAGAGAGGCTGCCCACTGGGCTCCCTCCGCCCTGCGCTTGCCCTTGCCCTGCTCCTTGACCTCTGCTGTGCCTCTCTCTCCGAGTCAGTCCCCCTCCTGCATCTCCCTGGCGCTCCAGCCCACCCTGCCTGGGGCCCTTGGGCGCAGAGGGTCCAGGGACACCAACAGCTTTCTTTGGGAAGTTCTGCTTTTCAGGAAACCAAACCCCTTTCCACCTGTGATGGGCTGAGGAGGGAAATGCCCCGGGGGCACTGGGGGCCTCGCCACTTTGCGCCAGGCTGTCCTGGGCCCAGGTGGTTCAGTGGAACCTCCGTGTGGCCCACGTGCCACGGCGGGATCTGCTTGTTGATATGCAGGGCTCTCTCGGGCCTTTGTCATTCCAGTCCCCCGCCCAGGCCTGCAGGGTCCCCTGGTGCCCTGACCTGCCCCCACCTGCGGTGCTTGGGGCACACTGGTCACAGCGCAGTTGTGCGGGGACAAAGCCTTCCGTGCTCGCCAGCAATGAGCGCGGGAAGTCCCCCGCCCCGCCGCCCAGCGAGTTCTGAGAAGCCGCCAAGCCTCCATTTATCACCGCTCAAGTCCGGTAAGGCGCCTAATTGGCCCATAAATGTGGTCCGATAACCGCACCTGACACCCAGAGACACTGCAGGCAATTAGCACTTATTTATTTGCATATGGTATTGACCAATCTCCAGCTACTCTCACTCTCAGGATCTGTTTATTCTCAGCACTGGAGGGAAGGAACCTCATTATGGCAGCACAAAGGGCACACCACCCACACACACTCCACACTCCACACACAGGCCACACGTACACACACCACAGCCACGCACCACACACATATACACACCATACCTATACACTCCACACACACACACACACTGTACAAATACACTCCACACACAGGCCACACATACACATACACACACCACACAGCCACGCACCACACACATATACACACCATACCTATACACTCCACACACACATACACACTGTACAAATACACTCCACACACAGGCCACACGTGCACACACCACACAGCCACGCACCACACACATATACACACCATACCTATACACTCCACACACACATACACACTGTACAAATACACTCCACACACAGGCCACACGTGCACACACCACACAGCCACGCACCACACACATATACACACCATACCTATACACTCCACACACACATACACACTGTACAAATACACTCCACATTCCACACATACACCAACATACACACTCCATACATATACACTCCACATACATATATGCACTATATAAATACACTCCATATACAGGGCACACGTATACACACCATACATCCACACACCACACACATATACACGCCATATGTATACACTCCACACACACATACACACTACACAAATTACGCTCCACATTCCACACACACACCAACATATACACACCATACATATACACTCCACACATAGGCCACACATTTACACACCACACAGCCACACACCACACACCATACATATACACTCCACACACATATGCACACTATGCAAATTACACTTCACACTCCACACACACACCACACATATACACTCCATATATACTCCATACATATACACACCACACACATACACATCCCACACATGCACATACACACCACACACACTAGCAGGGAAGACGGGAACTTGGCATTGCACTGTGCCTGGCTGAGGAATTCT